ACGTTTGTGAGACAATCAGCTGATTACTATTATTATATTAAATTATATATTAAAACCCTTGATCCTCACCTGACTATGGCTTTGTAAACAGTATTCATGATGTGGTTTATAATGGACTGTGGTACAGAAACAGTGACAATGTTACACACTCTTGTCTTACTCTGGCTATTCTCTGCTGTCTCAGCCGACGAGATGTTTGTCCCATTTTAGCAACCGTAGCTTCTTCGAAAGGGAGGGGTGAGCAGTGGGCTGAGCCCTTAGTGCAAACCTGGTGCAAACTCGCAACCGAACCACTAGATGTCGCTAAAAATCACACATTGCTCCTTTAAATGTTTTGCATATGATTGATGAAACTAAATGGTTCAGGGTTCGGCACATTTTCAGTTCAATTTAACTTAATTACTAACATAGCCACTAATCGTGGTGTAAATGGTAATGGTGAAAATATGACATAGAAGGGAAAATGATATTTCAACGTTGTTGTTTTTTTTTGCGTTTGCCTGCGAACCATTTGCTTTCCCCCCAAGAATCATTGTGTTCTCTCTAGTTGTGCGTTCCCTACAGAAACTCGAAAGTTTGTGTTCACTCTCAAAAGCATTGAAATATAGTTTTACCATATAAGTGATGGTAACACTGAGGCGTTCCCAGGCCAGCCAGGAGACATAGTCCCTCTAGTGTGTCCTAGGACTTCCGTGGATGCGCCTGGAAGACCTTCCCGGGAAGTTGTCCAGAAGGCATCCGGAATAGATGCCTGAGCCACATCAGATGACCCCTAGATGTGGAGGAGCAGCGGCTCTACTCTGAGCTCCTCCCGAGTGACAAGCTTCTCACCCTATCTCTAAGGGATCGCCCAGCCACCCTGCGGAGAAAGTTCATTTTGGCCGCCTGTATCTGGGATCTTGTCCATTCGGTCATGACCCAAAGCTCATGACCATAGGCGAGTAGGAACGTAACGGTTCAGCTCTTTCTTCACCACGACAGACCGGTACATCGACCGCATTACTGCAGAAGCTGATCCGTCTGTCAATCTCCCGTTCCATCCTTCCCTCATTCGTAAACAAAAACCCAAGATACTTGAACTCTCCACCAAGATGAAGTGAGCAACCCACCCTTTTCCTACTAAGGACCAGGGCCTCAGATTTGGAGGTGCTGATTCTCCTCCCAGCCGCTTCACACTCATCTGCCAGCAATGCGAACCAAGCTCATGCTTCGTTCATACAGGGACCAGACAGACAGCCCTTGGCAAAGGACCCCGGACCACATACTCCCGGAGCACCCTCCACAGGCCACCGCGAGGGACACAGTCGAACGCTTTCTCCAAATCCACAAAGCACATGTGGATTTGTTGGATAAACTCCCATGAACCCTCCAGCACCCTGTAGAGAGTATAGAGCTGGTCCAGTGTTCCACGGCCTGGACGAAAACCGCACTAAAGTGGATAACTGAAAAATGTCATTTGAATTAATTTCAATCATTGTAGATAACGTTAAATATTAAACACATTTCAGTTCCAAATCTAGGCTACATCTCTATATCATTTGATGTTTTTTTGAGGCACCTTCATTTAAATGTCTGATTAAATCAGAACTTGATCCACATTTGCTTTCACTCATGACGTTAATGTGAATTTCCACTGATGCAGCAGCTGCAGCTCCTCAAATGCAAATGATGAGAACATATCCAGGGACTTAGTGGGAAGAGGGAACAGTTTGGGATAGGGTGACCACCTGCTAATAAGCCCAAGGGGGGACAAGGGGTATGTTTCTGAGGGACAATGTGGGACACTGCTTGCCCCCACCCCACGGGCAGACTCTGATAGTGGTTTACCCATATCTAGAATTGTTACTATTGCCTTACTGTTTGTACATGAATAATTGTTAAAAAAAAGCACATACCTTAGCACATGCATTAATAATGCCCTATTCCCTAAACATGTGTAATTGCTGATATATTCTCATGAATAGGCCAACCAATGTGTATTTGTTTTCTAAATAAAGATGAATATTTTGAACATTCAATGAATTGACAGCACTTCCACTTACGATTTACTTTAGCTATTTAATTTTATTTATTTTTTTATTACAATTAATTCACTTTAAATCAATAAAAGTATAAAATTATAGGATTAACAGGAATTATAGTTGCTCAACACCACAGGAACAGTTTAAAAAAAGTCGAAAAAAAGTCTAAACTCACAACTCCAGAGGTTCACGGAATGAGAAGCTGCGCTGTCATGACAACAATGAAAAAGTTGACATCAACCTAGTCAACAGGTCACGTGGGAGTGGCAACCAGTCTTGATGAAGTTCACTTTCTACATGAACTAGTTCAAAGTTCAGTTCACACATTTTAAAATGAACTAGTTAAGTTCAAGTTTGCACAGAAATGTAAGATTTTTCCCATCTTCACCGACCTCGTTATAAAATCCGTTTAAATTATCATACGACGCCTTTGTCGACGGCGGCCGCGGTGCGACACTGGTGGCTTGTGTTGCCAGATTGGGTGTTTTTTCGCTACATATTGAGCCCTGTTTACGGTAAGTTTTAGCAGGGTGTTCGCCTGGAAGGCTCTATAGAAATCTGGCACCCCATTGAATGAAGTTAAACTTCTCTGAGAGAGCGTGCGTTCAGAGACACCAGAATGAACGAGTTCACACGTTCATCAAGACAGGCAGTTAAACAATACGTTCAGTTCACCCAAAATATGAACAAGTTCATGAACGTGAACGTGTTCAGGCACAACGTTTGGCTGCCTGCGTCTCGAGGATAAAGAGTGACCGACTTTTTTTGAGCAAGCATTGATTATGCGTGACGCGGTCTCAATTTGCGGGACGCATGAATTGGGCTTCAAATGCTGTGCGCGCACGCGCTACGCGGGACGGGTGGTCACCCTAGTTTGGGAGCAGAAAAGGTACAACACTGTAGCAAGGTTTGTTGTGATGGGAAGGAGGAGATGGGAACCGGTGAACATTCAAACACTAAAAAAATAAAAATAAAAAAAGATAAAGGCGGCAATAAAACAAACAAAACACAACGTAAAATCAGGCCTGGTCCTCTCTCCTCCTTCACTGTCGTCGCTTCTCCTTTTGTGCTCCCGCTCCTTCGCGTGACCGGTGCGTTGGGCAGGGGTCGCTCATCAGTAATCACACCACCACTCTTTCTGCTTGCCAGAAACCCCCCCACAATTAATTCATTGTTAAATAAACATTCTAGTTCACTATTCTAGCACATAACAAATCAGATGTAGCTCAGCAACTTAATGAGAATGAGGGATGGGTTTGACAGTGAAGACTTGCTGCTAGGGTTTCTATTCTCAGTCAACCTTTGTACATTACAGAATGGCAGACAGGATGCTGGTGGTCTTTAAAAGGATCTGTGGCCCTTCTTAAGAACTCTTTCTAGGTCACAGGCAATCCGTCGCCTCAAATGCAGATCACATGCCACACTGACCTATGGAAGAGCCTGAGAACTACATGAAAACAAGTTTTGATTTGTTGCAGTGCACTTATGGACGGATTGATGGATGCATGAATGAATTCATGAAAAAAGACATTAAAAGTTGAATATTATTCTAATCCTTTTTCAAGCTTTTTCAAACGATCAAACCAAACATTTACCCAGGAAAGGCATAGTTCACCCAAAAATGACAAATTCTTATATGGAATAAACCATTTATTTCACAGAGGTCTTTCCCATTCAATGAATTGCGACTGGTTAGGCTCCAAAATTAAACAAAAAAAAAAGCACCATAAAACTTATATATAATAAATATAATATTACATAATAAATATAATATTGTGTTATATATAATAAAAATATATATTATTAATAGGTTGACAACATGTTTTTACATTGCTTTAACTCGTCAAAATAACTTAAGCAGTTTTCAACTGTTTTCAAGAAATTTAACTTGTTTTTAAAACTCAGTTTAATGTAGTTTAAAATGAAATGATCCAAGTTGATTGTACTTAAAAATTTAAAGCTCAGGCGCACCAGATAACACGTCAGCAGCATCTTAAGTCAGATAACACGTCTTAAGCATGCGGAATGGCTGAATAAAGTCGTAGTTTTTGTTATGTTTGGACCAAAATGTATTTTCGATGCTTCAAAACATTCTAACTAACCCACTGATGTCTTTATTTCCTTTCTGGACAAAGACAGTTTACCGTACATACATTTACAATGGAGGGACGGAAAGCTCTCGGACTAAATCTAAAATATCTTAAACTGTGTTCTGAAGATGAATTACAGGCTTGGAACGACATGAGGGAGAGTCATTAATGACATCATTTTCATTTTTGGGTGAACTAACCCTTTAAGGCAGCAACTTTTTTTTTATTGATAACTTAATATGAGAACCCCTATGACCTGATTGAATCTGTGAGTTGAATTTGGATTTGTGAACAAATTTGTCCATTTCATCCAGTCTGGTTTGTTGAAAAGATCCCACTCATTTACTGATTCTGTTCTCAATAAATTAAACTAATCGGTTTATGATTGATTTAAAAGCCAAATCATTGATTCAAAGATCCAGTCCCAGCTAGAGGTTAGCTGAGTTACTGTAATAGCATAATGAAAGTGAAGATCAGTGAAAACCCATGTCTGTCACACAAAGTTATAGTATGGCTCCATAAGATATGGGGTTCAGCACCTTTTTGAACTGTCATTTAGTGGAAAAGACAAAAAAAATAACCTTTTGTGTTACAAAAAAGAAGAAAAAATAAAACCTTTGAGTTTGGAAGGACAGAAGACTGGATGTAAATGTAGGCTACATCGGTGAACTGTAAATCTTTAATTGTGTTCTGCAAAGGTTTTTATAACTCTGAGAGAAGTTATTGCCTGCAAGTACACAGAAGACTCGAGACGAATAGTTTCCTGTCCATGATGTCACTGTCCTATCTTTTTCAGATATGCAAATTTGTTCACCACAAATGCATGCGAACGCTGATACACTGACTAAAAATGTAATAATAGTGAATACATGAGTGTACAGGAGTGTCCTAAGTGTGCATCACAAGTGAAGGAATGGATTGGAGGCAGAAAGTGTGTGAGATATATAGACTGTGTGTGAGTGTGATGTGTGTGTGTGTGTGTAGGTGGGTGGGAAGTCTAAACCGCACTGCAGGACCTTTTAAAAAACTGTCGTTCTGCAACAACTTTCAAGACATACTCTCTTGTCACTCAGACCTTCACACACTCTTCTGAGCTCGGCAAACATGAGCAATAACTTCGGTCCCCCATCCCAACCAGTCTTCATGGTGGATTCTGGCAGAGATGACCCTAAACAACATCAGTACTACCACCAGCAGATGCCCAGGCACAGAGAGCCACCAATGGTTCCCTGCTGGACGTTCCCCCCTGCCCGAGCAGAGATGAAGAGAAAGAAATGGGGAGGGATGAATACTGGGATGGCCTGGGTACTGACTTTGATTCTCCTGCTGGTTTTTGCAGCCCTGGGACTGGGAGCCTACCAGATCCTGAGGTTACAGACTGAACTGGAGCGCCTGACACAGGTAAAAACTACTGGGGCAGTGGATTTTATTATCTAAAAAAAAATAAAAATAAAATAAATATATATATATATAGTTGTGTGTCTGTTTATATAAATACCTTTTTATATAAATACAGTGGCCCAAAATGTATTCTGATGCATCAAAATGAATGAATTATTTTACATTAAATGTATGATTAAATGATTCATGATTTTTTTTTAAATTTAATTTCAAGAAAGATAGCACAAGCTCAACATTTCACAAAACTCTGCAACCTTGTAAAACAATAGATGGCACAGTTCAACATAGAAAAATCGTATCTTTGGTTACTTTCTAGTTACCAGATGTTAGTGGATCATGTTCATAGTTAATTTTACAAACTACAAACTGGTTTCCAGGACACCTGGAATTTTGCAAATTTTAATTTAACACGATTTTTAAAGTGTACAAATACTTCACTGAAACACCAACTTTTTGAGGTAAAAATTTGAAGCCAAAATTATTGACACACCTCGAAAGCAGCCAAGTGCTCCATTATGTGTTTGTGATGTCATTTGAATCTCTTTGATGTGCATGGGAGTATCATTTTTCAGTTTCCATTCCATGATCACGCGACTGAGTAGGACATAATTACCAGAGAGACAAAAAAAAACTTGTGGTCACTGGTCAGAGGCTACAGGATATCCTCTACTTTAACTAGCAGTCTAACACCAGTTTCTCTTTCTCATAACTAATAGTCGATTAACTTTAGCCATATCTATTTTTGAGTCAAATGACTTTTGAATGCACAATAATGCAAATCTGTGACACTACTGAGCAGTTTGTGACCCATTTTTTCAATGGCAGGAAAGGCCCACACAAATACAGAGTGTCGCTCCAGAGAGACAAATTGGTAAGTTGCATGACCAAGTTGGCATTTATCAGAACATCATTCTATGCTAAATCTTATCTGGTGAACAGGATAACCTAATGACATTCTTTACTGTTCAACAGGCCTGAATCCTGCTGAGCTCAACAAGAACAAACAAAAAACTGCAGCACATGTAATAGGTACGATTTGTCCTCATAGTAAACCTCTGGTTACACTTTTATTTCCATAGTCCTCTTTATGCATTCTACTAACTTTGCAACTACATATCAACTAAATCTCATTCATTTGTAACATGTTAACTAACTCTCACTAGAGTATTAGAAGAATGTTCGGTTAGGGTTAGTGTTGGGAGAATAAAAAAAGTTGACGTAGTTGCAAAGCTACTTTTTTGGGGACCATCAAAATAAAGTTAGCAGAAGCAGACCGTCTACTAATACTCTAGTGACAGTTGACATTTAATTTAAAAGTTACATGTAGTTAGTATAATATCTAAAGTGGACCATCAAAATAATGTGTTACCCATTTTTTTTTTTAATACAAAACAATGTCACCTGCAACTCTTTTCTAAAACAGGTGGTGCAGACCAGAGAGCATCATCTGGCTCTCTGAAGTGGCAAGCGATACACGGCGAAACCTTCACACATGGCGTCAAGTACAATAATGGTGGCCTTCAGGTCAACGAGAGCGGTTTGTACTTTGTTTACTCCCGAGTGGAGTTTTTTTCACTCATGTGCAAGTCCTCAGACTTCCTTACTCACAAAATTAGTCGGCAGAGAAACGGCTATAACCTCACAATCATGGAAGATCACAAAGAGGGCTTCTGTATGGCGGGGAGAAACCAGCCATGGATGATAGGAAGCCATCTAGGCTCACTTCAGCAACTCAAGATGTCCGACTCGCTGTTTGTCAATGTCTCACACCCCCATCTGCTCAGCAAAAATTTTCACAACAATTATTTTGGCCTCTTCAAGATCCAATGATCTTGAAGAGTGGTGCATTGGAAGGACATGATTGTGAGTTCAGATGAAGAGGTCAGCGGTCTTTGGACTATAATCAACCCTGAGATCCTTAGCAATCCGCTTGCTATTGTCAAATCATAATTGATTTTCAAAGTATCAGTTATCTGTGGCCATTACTTTTGGAAAGTTGTGCAGAAGAGTTTCAGATTGAATGAACACTAATATGCTTCTGTATCAGGAGAAGGTAGATTAAATAAAAATATTTATTGTCCTTGAACTCTGATTGTATATTAATGTGATCAATGGTCATATTGACTGAGTAATAAATCAATAATGCCTATAATAAAGCCTTTAATTGTGTAAAATAAATAAATAGTTTTCTGCTGGATTTTCTGCTGAAAACTGTTAATTTCACTCTGATTGTGAACCGAGAGAAGATGTCTCACACTCTTTGAGAAAAATTATATTGTGTGGTGGGGTGTTTCCATTCCCACTAATATTTCCATGTTATTGTAGGTTGGTTGTCATAGTAAATTATGCAGATTTTTGATAGAAGGTTTCCAGAGCTATATTTATTTTAAAAATCTAAATAATGTTCCTTCATTTTTTTATTGGGTATTTCATAAACATATGGACAGCTTAATAGTGCTATTTTTTATATATGCTAAATTAGGAACAAAGAATATTATATACATTATATATGAATATATTAATTGCATAGATGAACATAACTCAAAGGAGTTTCTTGTCAGCTGTTTTTGAATATCCTCAATGGACCACAAGGCAGCTTTTGCAGGGTTGCAGTTTCATTCCTCGTCATTTCTGCAAAGACCCTCAGGTTTGCTTCATTGCAGTGTTGCTGAGCCACGCTTACAGATTAAGGCTTTTTGTGCAAGTATAACTGTGGCAGTACACTCTGTGCTTCTTGGTTTCTCATGCTTCCTTCCTGTGTTTAGGTATGGTGTTTACAGGGGTCAAAAAGCCTTGATGAGAAATGAAAATGAAAACCTGCTTGTCACTCATTCATTCAATTACTCACGAGACAAAGTGTACATTTCTCACTGTTGCTCTCAGTATGTGCCAATGAAACTGTGTTATGCAGTATTGTTTGTGTTTTTGTCTTTTAAATCTATTACACCTCAATATTCCACTTACTACGAGGGTGAGTGGAAACAAGGCCTACTCTGTCACCTCCTCCAACTGTTTTGTACAGGGATCACACAGACACACACCCACAAAATGCAAATACCACAGGAAGTGACCACTGGATAATCATCACCTACGGTTCATCCACTCTCTCTCAAACTCTGCTTCAAAATAAGTCTAAGAGACTTAGAACATAAATGGCACAGTAAAAACATACTCCGTAAAAAAAATGGATAATACTGGCAGAAAATTACCAGGACACATACATACAAACATGTGTGTGTGTGTGTGTGTCCTGGTAATTTTAATAAATATTGTCGCTTAGACTTAGTTTGTCCAAGTAATTTTCTGCCAGTACATTGTCCATTTTTTGTAATGTACTGATGGCAAATAAAAATCTTTCAGTGTGACCTTGATAACAAAATTGTAACACCCAAGTAATTACATGAATAACGTCCTTGGGTGTGCAAGAACAACTGAAGGTGGTACATAATTTAGCTCAAGTTTCCAAATGAATCACCTGGGCTCACCACCCAGCATCACATAATCATAAACAGCAAAAATGCACTCTAATCTGTATATTTCACTAATGGCCTTGAGAAAGGGCCCTGTTTCTTAGTTTAATTTGAAAGAATGAAAAAAAAAAAAACTTTTCCAAAGTGACCAAAGGTGCAGTAAATAGATGACAGCCTACTGAAGCCATTTATTTACATCAGACTTAAAACATGCACCTTTTCTTGGATAGTTCCAAAAGATTGTATAAGTTCTGAGCACAAAAAGCGCTGATTTGGCTCAGTAATATTACAGATGGCTTTTAGAAGCAACCATCAATTCTACCTTAACTGTTCACATCTTTATCTTTATATATATAGAACTTTCTCTTTTTTTTCTCTTTTTTTCTGAATAATTGGCAAATATTAGCAATGAAAAAATGATAATAACAAGAAAAAAACAAGTAAAACAGCAACAAATATCTAACCTTTCATGAAGGTAAAACAGTGGAAAATGGTTGAAAAATCTCATCACGAAATAAATGTTTTCTCGGGTGGGGCTCAATAGAGTGGACACTGGTTTGAACTCTAGGGCTGGAGTAGACTCTAGATAGATAGATAGATAGATAGATAGATAGATAGATAGATTAGATAGATTAGATAGATTAGATAGATTAGATAGATTAGATAGATTAGATAGATTAGATAGATTAGATAGATTAGATAGATAAATAGATAGATAGATAGATAGATAGATAGATAGATAGATAGATAGATAGATAGATAGATAGATAGATAGATAGATAGATAGATAGATAGATAGATAGATAGATAGATAGATAGATAGATAGATAGATAGATAGATAGATAGATAGATAGATAGATAGTTTATTCATCCGTTAAGGAAATTCAAGTTTCCAGTAGCAACAATTAATAACAATTAATTAAAAATATATAAAAATTAAATTACAGATTGAGTCTAGATTGAGCTTTCGGGCTGGAGCGGACTCTGGGTTGAGCTCTGGGGCTTGAGTGGACTCTGGTTTGAGCTCTGGGGCTTGGGTTGAGTCTGAGTTCACTCAAGACCTAGAACTCAATTCAGAGTTCACTCAAGCCCCAGAGCTGAATTGAGCTCTAGGGCTTGAGTGAACTCTGGGTTGAGCTCTGAGGCTTGAGTGGACTTTGGGTTGAGCTCTGGGGCTTGAGTGGACTCTGGGTTGAGCTATGGGGTTGAGTGGACTCTGGATTGAGCTCTGCGGCTTGAGTGGACTCTGGGTTGAGCTCTGGGGCTTGAGTGGACACTGGATTGAGCTCTGAGGCTTGAGTGGACTCTGGATTGAGCTCTGAGGCTAAAGTGGACACTGGGTTGAGCTCTGCGGCTTGAGTGGACTTTAGGTTGAGCTATGGGGTTGAGTGGACTCTGGGTTGAGCTCTGGGGCTTGAGTGGACTCTGGATTGAGCTCTGAGGCTTGAGTGGACTCTGGATTGAGCTCTGAGGCTTGAGTGGACACTGGATTGAGCTCTGAGGCTTGAGTGGACACTGGATTGAGCTCTGCGGCTTGAGTGGACTTTAGGTTGAGCTATGGGGTTGAGTGGACTCTGGATTGAGCTCTGAGGCTTGAGTGGACACTGGATTGAGCTCTGCGGCTTGAGTGGACTTTAGGTTGAGCTATGGGGTTGAGTGGACTCTGGATTGAGCTCTGGGGCTTGAGTGGACACTGGATTGAGCTCTGAGGCTTGAGTGGACACTGGATTGAGCTCTGCGGCTTGAGTGGACTTTAGGTTGAGCTATGGGGTTGAGTGGACTCTGGGTTGAGCTCTGAGGCTTGAGTGGACACTGGATTGAGCTCTGAGGCTTGAGTGGACACTGGATTGAGCTCTGCGGCTTGAGTGGACTTTAGGTTGAGCTATGGGGTTGAGTGGACTCTGGGTTGAGCTCTGAGGCTAAAGTGGACACTGGATTGAGCTCTGCGGCTTGAGTGGACTTTAGGTTGAGCTATGGGGTTGAGTGGACTCTGGGTTGAGCTCTGGGGCTTGAGTGGACTCTGGATTGAGCTCTGAGGCTTGAGTGGACTCTGGATTGAGCTCTGAGGCTTGAGTGGACTCTGGATTGAGCTCTGAGGCTTGAGTGGACTCTGGATTGAGCTCTGAGGCTTGAGTGGACACTGGATTGAGCTCTGAGGCTTGAGTGGACTTTAGGTTGAGCTATGGGGTTGAGTGGACTCTGGATTGAGCTCTGGGGCTTGAGCTTACTCTGGGTTGAGCTCTGGGGCTTGAGCTTACTCTGGGTTGAGCTCTGGGGCTTGAGCTTACTCTGGTTGAGCTCTGGGGCTTGAGTGGACTCTGGGTTGAGCTCTGGGGCTTGAGTGGACACTGGATTGAGCTCTGCGGCTTGAGTGGACTTTAGGTTGAGCTATGGGGTTGAGTGGACTCTGGATTGAGCTCTGAGGCTTGAGTGGACTCTGGATTGAGCTCTGAGGCTTGAGTGAACTCTGGGTTGAGCTCTGGGGCTTGAGTGGACTCTGGTTGAGCTCTGGGCTTGAGTGGACTCTGGGTTGAGCTCTGAGGCTTGAGTGGACACTGGATTGAGCTCTGAGGCTTGAGTGGACTCTGGATTGAGCTCTGAGGCTTGAGTGAACTCTGGGTTGAGCTCTGAGGCTTGAGTGGACTCTGGGTTGAGCTCTGGGGCTGGAGTGGACTCTGGGTTGAGCTCTGAGGCTAAAGTGGACACTGGGTTGATCTCTGGGCTGGAACGGACTTGGGGTTGAGCTCTGGGGCTTGAGTGTACTCTGGGTTGAGATCTGAGGCTTGATTGGACTCTGGGTTGAGCTCTGCTGGGGCTTGAGTGGACTCTGGATTGAGCTCTGGGGCTTGAGTGGATTTAGGGTTGAGCTCTGGGGCTTGAATGGACTCTGGATTGAGCCTTGGGGCTTGAGTGAACTCTGGATTGAGCTCTGAGGCTTGAGTGAACTCTGGGTTGAGCTCTGAGTCCTGAGTGGTCTCTGGGTTGAGCTCTGGGGCTTGAGTGGACTCCGGGTTGAGTTCTGGGGCTGAAGTGGACACTGGGTTGAGCTCTGGGGCTTGAGTGGACTCTGGGTTGAGCTCTGGGGCTTGAGTGGACTCTGGGTTGAGCTCTGAGGCTTGAGTGGACTCTGGGATGAGCTCTGGGACTTGAGTGGACTCTGGGTTGAGCTCTGGGGATGGAGGAAACACTGGGTTGATCTCTGGGCTGGAGCGGACTCTGGGTTGAGCTCTGGGGCTTGAGCGGACTGTGGGTTGAGCTCTGAGGCTGTAGTAGACTCTGGGTTGAGCTCTGGGGCATGACTAGAATCTGGATTGGGCTATGGGACTGGAGTGGACTCTAAGTTTAGCTCTGAGGTTGGAGCGGACTCTGGGTTGAGCTCTGGGGTTTGAGCTTACTCTGGGTTGAGCTCTGGGGCTGGAGTGGACTGGGTTGAGCTCCGAGCTCAATCCGAGTGCGAGTCAGATGATGAAACATTGGAAGAACTATTCATTCAACCCGAACCTCCATCAGAAGGACGACTCTAGCAGGACGTTTCTCAATGATACGTTATTTAGTTTGAGGTACATTATGAGATGTTGCAACTGTAGTTCCTCACCATCAGCATTAACAAGTGCATGTCCATCAACAAACCAATTATTTTACTTGTACTAATTTATTTACAGTATTTTTCTAATATATTGCGATGAACACGTGGAAACTGTATTAAGAACAGTGCATATACGCAATGTATGCATTAGTGTGAATGACTGATATAAGATAAATGTTGGTAAAACAAATCTTGCTCTATTCTTAATCTTTCCTCAACGTAGTGAGAATGACAATCTGCATTATTAGACCTAGTTATTGGTAATAGTGGCCCACAATTAGCAGAAGTATTTCAGTAAGACAGTGATAACATGAGTTAGCCTGTTAACAGGAGACCAACAAAATATAAAACTCAAAAGTATTTTGAACATCTTTCAAGAGCAAGCGGTTTGCAAATCCTATACTGAACTCGTCAGTAAAATAAAGGTAACACAGCAAAAGTTTGGGATTAGGAATATACTGCTGTGATAGTATCATGGTAAAGATTCATTTTAACCACTGATTCTTCACATGCTCGGGCATCCTTAGGGGCGGCAGTGGCTCAGTGGTTCATGTGGGTTGTGTGAACAGCATGAGTGTGAGTTGTTGACATAATTATATTTTGGGTGAACTATCCCTTTAATAAACAGTTACAATATAACTGTCTTTATTAAAAGCTGCAACATAATGCAGAATAATAATCTGACCCTCACTTATGAAAGAGACGTCCATGATTCAAATCAAAGACCACAACCGCCCAACCATTTCTAACTCCTGTACACATTTTTTCATCAGAATTTCAGCTTATCTTCTTAAGATTTCCCCCTCTTGAAC